GTCAGGAGCCCGCCTGGAGAATGGAGGTCGTTATATTTTTAAGTTGAAGAAGTCAGGAGCCCGCCTGGAGAACGGAGGTGTTATATTTTTAAGTTGAAGAAGTGAGGAGCCCGCCTGGAGAATGGAGGTGTTAAAATTTTGAGGAAGTTGTTGAAGTCAGGAGCCCGCCTGCAGAACAGAGGAGTACATTTCAAGATCAAATAGAAGTCAGTAATGAGGGGGAGTACAATAAAGATCCCCAGCATAACAAGCTTTAATGTAGGAAGCGGTGTTCGCAGCAGACAGAACAAAATAATAATACTTATGTTCAAAAAGGCAAAAGGCCAGTGTCATCCCCAGCAGTTTTTCGAAAAAAAAGGCACCAGAGGAAACACAAGCCGACAAGAAAGCAAGGCAACCAGAGCAAGGGGAAGACAGATAAAATTTTGTAATTGCTAGCTTAGTCTAGCTTCTTATTTTCTTTTGGCACGGTATAATAAGAGATCGAAAAGAAGTAGCAACAACATGTAGCATCAGTAACATTGCAGTCCCATGATAGCCCCAGCTACCAAAACTTCCCGAACTACATTGATCTGATTCCTGTTTAGTCCAGGATATGTAGGAAACCTCTGAAGCAAAGGTTCGGTCAAATCGTTCAAAAAATGCTTCCCAATGAGTACACGAACAGGCAAAAATCGCTCGTATCCGCTCACTTTATCTTTGCACGAAAACTCTTCGTGTTTTCGGACAAAGAGGGGCAGCTGTGAGCACGTGATTTTTGCCCTATATGAGAATTACTCCCAAAATTTCAAAACAAAACAATTTTCCTTTGTGTGCAATTTTTGTGTTCTTCGTGGCATTTCTGTGTAATTATTTGCATTTTTGTCTATGCATGTCTATTTGTTAGATTAACAAAAAATATAAAAATATGTCGCATTTGCATTTAATATTTAATTAAGTTTGTTTACAAAATGAAAAAAATCATAAAAATAATGTATGTTGCATTTTTAGCACTTAATGTCCAAATTGTGTGATTTTCTCGTTAGTCGCTATTTAATTGTGTGTTAACTGTTATTAAGAGTTAATTAGTATTTCCAGATAATTTTGGATTTTATAATTTAATCTTAGCATTCTAGCTTTATTATTATTTAGGAAATTGAATAAATAGAAAAGGATAAAAATAGTAGAGATCGGATTGGGCATTTTCTTCAATTTTAAGTCACAAGCCCAAAGAGACCCAATCTTCCCAAACGACCCAGTCCATTTCGAACTGGGTCGACCAGTCCATAACCCAAAAGACCCCAAACCCCCTTTTCTTTCATTTTTCATAAAAAAACAAAACAAAACAAAACAAAAAAAATAAACCAAAAAACCTAAGACTACCCGCACCCCCCCTCTTCTTCTTCCTCTCTTTCTCTCCTTTCTTCTCCAAATCTCCTCCCATGGCAGCCCCTCCCCCTCACACCCCTTCTCCCTTACGTCACACACAACACATATACGCGCACATATGCGAAGCATACACACACAACTCGTCGATCTCCTTCTCTTGTCCGCCATGGTTGCGTCTTCAAGATCTTGCCACTGCGTCCATTGCTTTGCTTCTTCTTCCTCGTCACATGCTGCCCGCCATGGCTGCTCCTACAGCTCTTCAAAATGATCAAAAGATTCCATCACTGCTGTCCGCCATGGTTGCGTCTCCAAGCTCTTCAAACGAGCACGAGATCCCGTCGCATTGCTGCCCGTTGTTTCTTCTTCTTCGCTCGTCGCTACTGCTGCTTCTCCTTCTTCATCCGTCGAGTTGCTCCAGCCATGGATGCTGCCCGGTGCTACTATTTCTCCTCCATGTTTCACGTCGTTGCTGGCCTTCTCCGCTCTTCGTTGCTACTGTCTTCTTCTTCAGATCATCACCTGTTTGTTGCTTCTTCTTCTCCGACGTTGCTGCTGTGTTTCTCCATTGTTGTGGCTGCTGCCCGTGTTGCTTCTTTGTCGTTGTCACTGTTACGACGCTGCTGCTGCTCTGTTTCTTCACGGCCATGGCTGCTGCGGCGTTTCCTTCTTCGTCCTCTTCCAAACGACCAAACTACTTTCCATTCGAGTTCTCGCTTCGATTCGGTTAGTGGGTTTGAGTTTCATTTTGTCCGTATTTTATTTTGATATTCTCAGATCTAAAATCGTTAAATGTTTGATTCTTGTTTTGTTCGTGTTTATCATTTAATTAATTAGTTTTCCGTTTATTTCATGTGTTTTTATTTAATTTGTAAAAGAAATTGTTAGTTTAATTTTAATGTTGTTAGATTCAAATTGAAATTGTTAAGTTTAATTGTTAGTATGTGAAAGAAATTGTTAGCTTAATTTTAATTTAAAAGAAATTGTTAGTTTTAATTTTTAATGTTGTTAGAATCAAATTGAAATTTAATTACTTATTTTTGGTTTGTTTCATGTTAATTTCGTTTATTTGTGTAAAAACGGAATTGTTAGTTTAATTTTAATGTGGTTAGATTCGAGTTGAAATTCAATCAATTATTTCTTCTTCGGTTTATTTTTATTCGTTTAAAATAATTTAGTTGTAATATAGAAATATGTTAGTTTAATCACTTGAATCATCCATTTTATTGATTAGTTTAGATTAAATTCATGTTCATCTTTTGGTTGAAGTTCGTTCTTAATCCGGTGATTTAATGTAAATTTATGTTTTAAATGCTTGATTTATATTGAATATTCATCTTGGTTGTAATGTTGTTAGATTTAGTTTAAAGATCAATTGACTATTGAATTTGGAAACTCAAATCTATTTGTTGATTATGTTGAATTTGTTAATATTGTTGACTCTGCAAATATATGTGTTGTTAAAAATATCGTTCAGTCAAAATAATTCCGATTGGTAATTTGTTGTTCATAGTTTAAGTTTGAATTTGTTGATTGAACTGGATTAAGGATTGGTTATAGCTGGTAATTTAATTTTAGGTTCTTAGATAATTTTGAAGTTGAACAGATTTTTGAATCGGGGCGTAACAGTAGTTTTAGGGGTAAAATGAGAATTAACCAATTACAGATTATTTAATTATGGTGGGTACCAGACATAATGATAAAAGCGAAAAGGAAAAGGTGGGTAATGATGTCTTCTTTTCAAAAAGAGGGAACATGGGGGCCCACTTTGACTACTTTTCAAAAAGAGGAAATACGGGGGGCCCACGTTGATTACTTTTACTAAAGTAAAAGTGTGGGTAATAATAAAAGTTAAAGAGTGCACATAGTGAAAGGATATTGGGTCTTGCTTTGGGTATATAAGAGACTCATTTTTGACACTTAAAAGGGGAGAGGAAAAAAAGAGGGAGAAGAATTTTGGGGAGAGAAAAAAAAATTCAGAACTAAAGAGGAGATAAGAACATACTTTTAATCTTGAAGAAGAGGATTTCTAAAATATCCGAATACTATTTTCGTGTATTCCTGAGTGTGATCTCTGCCTAATGTTTGCTTCCGGGATTTTCAATTGCCTTTTTGAGTTAACTGTTGGTCCTTTGTTATTGCTTTATTGAGTGGTTGCTGGAATTTCTGTTTGGTTTTCAAGTCTACTGCTGGTTGTTTGTTGTTGCTGCGCTGTTTCTACTGCTACTGATCCTATTCTTCCTTTCCTTGTATTCAAATACCAGGTACACGACTGTAATACTAGCTATTGCAAGCTGAAAAATGTGAAGCATGAATACATGAAGTCAACCTTATCCGGATTGAGCGACCGTTGAGTGACCGTGCTAGAACCACGGAACTCGGGAATGCCTAACACCTTCTCCCAAGTTAACAGAATTCTTTATCCGGATTTCTGGTTCGCGGTCTGTAATACAGAGTCATTCTTTTCCTCGATTCGGGATTAAATTGGTGACTTGGGACACCCTAAAATCTCCCAAGTGGCGACTCTGAAATAAATAAACAAATCCCGTTTCGATTGTCTTTTAATTGGAAAAACTCCTTGTACCCTCGCAGTGCCGGAAAAAGGAGGTGTGACAGTGAGTAAAAGATATATGTTGAATAATGGAATCAGTGGACAAGACAATCTTTGTATATTCTCTGTAGTCAACCTTTACAATGTGTTCTTACCCCAAAAGTGAAGATCCCCCATTTTTTATTCTTTATCTCTTCCTATTTATAGGAGATATTCTTAAGAAACCCTAAAAAGTGCAACAGAAAAAATATCCAATGGAATATTCCTTATTTCTAGTCTAAAGTTATTCTATCGTTGATTCCGTACATTTTTTTACTTGACCTCGGCATTAATCCTTCTTAAGACAACTCCTCGCCATTGTGCCGTGGTCGGCTTAATCCTTGACCACTTCCATTTGCAGTTATTAAGTTCAGTCCAAATTTTAACCAATACGGTTAGTCCCTCCGCTTGTTGAGGTCGTGATCTTGGACGTCCTCGATGAGCAGATTCTGTCTGCAACCGTTCAGGGGAAATTTGATCGTGATGATTGAATCAAATCGGCTGAGGTCGAGGCTGACGTCATGGCCACACGAGTCATCATTACGCGTCTTCCCAATGCAGTGTATGTGCTTCTGTCACTTCAATTTTGGTGCCATTGACGGCTCTTTGCCTTGATTTTGGTGTCACCTAACCCTATAAATATAGGAGAGGGGCTTCATTTTCGAAACTTTCAGCATTTCCCATTTTGTATGCATATTGTTCTTCTTTGATCTTCTTCTCTAATCTCCACTTTCGATTTCTTGCAGCATCTTCAATTCCAATCCTTGATTTCTTTCCCAGTTAATATCTTCTTTCTCTGACTTTGCTGTACACACTTTACTAAGGAAATATGTCAAATTTCCCTCATATTCATGACGAAGTCTCCGATGCCACTCCTTTATCGGTGGCCATTCCTCCCGGCGGCGAGGAATCCATGGTTGAGGAGGAAGAAAGCTTCCCCACCGTGGATGAGGTGGTTCCTATGAATCCTTTGGTCAAAAATAATTTCCCAAAGGAACCTGCTTCTGCTCCTACTCAGGAGCTTTCTGAGACGGGGCCTCATCAAATAGCTGACCTCCAGTCAAAATATCGTATTCCTTGTCACGTTGAAATTGTTCCGGCGGGAGGCGACATAGTATAGGTTCATCAACCCAGATATTGTGCTTTCTACGTTTATCCGTTCCTAGTTGGTTATTCTCTTCCTCTCCCCCTATTAGAGGAGAAGTTTTGTCGCTTTTACAACGCCTGTCTGGCGCAGCTCTCCCCTTATTTATACAAAGTTTTTCTGATGCTGGCGAAGTACGCGGAGTTGGCCGGCTGTGAGGTCAATATCTGCCATCTGCTGCATCTATTCTCGCCCAGTTTTTATAGATGCACATTGATACATCTGTGACAACGTGGGACCAAAGTGTTGGTGGGTGGGATGGATAATAAAGCGAACTGGCGGTTCTTGCACAAATACTTATTCATCAAGATCGAGCATCTGGTGGTGAATCTAACCGGTTTCCCCGAGCAATGGAACTATAATTGTAAGTATCTTGCCATACATTCATAATTTTATCTTTTCTTCCTCTTCTTCTTCTTCTTTCATTTTCGACCCACTCACGGCTTCCCCGTATTCAGCTGAGAGGCGTTCACCTTCTCTTGTCTTCGATATTGAAGATTTAGTGGCTCGCGTGTTACCCCACAGCGTGGGAATTCACAACTGGGCGTCCTTCCACAAGTGCTTTGGACCCAAGACTTGGTCTAGTAAGTGTTATTTCTACCTGCCAGCTTATTGTCGTTCACTATCGCCTTTTGATGCGACCTTTCTTTAGTGCTAGGTCGGCGAGATTCCAAGAAGGCGAAGACTCCAGAGCTTGCATTTTGCCAGGCTGTCGCATCGGCTGGAATGCAGTTTGTACTGGCCGATTCTGCATGGGGGGTCGTACTCTAGTTCCACCGTCGGGTGATTCCTCCCCGTGGGCAGTCATCACATATGTTGAGACCTCTGATCACCGCGTCCTACATCTAGTTGATGAGTCGTCTCATGACGAGGGGGAGGCGGTACCCCGAAAAAGATGGAGGGTGGTGATTGGAAGGGTCGACGTTAGTGATACCGAGTTGGAAAGGCTTATTGATTTGGATTCTGAGGCGGCTTCCTCGTTGAACGTTGAGGCTGCTCCCACACCGGCTATTGTCATGGAGGAAAGATCGTTAGTGATTGAGGCGACCTATGATAGCAGGGAGCCTGCTTGGATAGTCAGAGTTGGCTCATCTTCAGTGGATGGAAGGTATAAAACCGTCTTCATGGAAGATGATGGGTCGGGTTCTGACATCGACTTAGAGGAAGTGCGGGATTTTAAGGAGAGATTTACACGCGTGAAAATAACGACGGAGGGACCTGATCGGCGCATAGTCATCCCCGTAGATTACGACCTTCTGGCCAACTCAGAACGGGCGGTGTCGGCCTTCGCTCCCTTGTGCACGCATTCTGAGAATAGGATACTACAGACACTGAAAGATGTGGATCTGTCATTTGGGTATATCTGGCATGGCCTTGCGAGTACGTTTGCTTTTCCCGTGTTAGGTTATGTTCATTTTGTATATGTAACTTGCTTCCACTTACCTCCTCTTCTTTTCTTTTTTTTTGCATGTCAGATCCGTATCATGGGGATTGAGCGAGATCGGCGGGAAGGGCAGAGGATGGCCATTTTCAAGAAAATAACATCCAAGTACAGAGAGTACCGTTCTAAGCACCGGACGCTAGCCGACTTACTCATCCAGGATGGCTAGTTTCAGTCGCTTCGTGATGGGCTCTAGCAGAAAGACGATGAACTAAAGAAAAAGGACGAGGAGATAAGGGAGAAGGACAAGGAGCTTTTGAGGGCTATCAACAGATTCAGTGTGCTTGAAGGAGCGCTAAAGGCTAAAGAGGACGATCTCGAGGTGAGCAAGGGAGCGATGGTCGAGAATGTTGATCTTCAGGCGCAGGTGGTATCTTTAAAGTTTGAACTAGAGTAGAGAGAGGCAAGGGCCATCGACTTGAGAGATGAGTTTAGTGACAAGGTAGAAGAGTTGGGCCGAGCTAAGAAAATCAGAATGGCCGCTGTGGCAGAGGCGGCGACCCTTGAAGGTGCCCTCTGTGTTTGCAGGTCCAAACGGGATACTGAGGCGGAAACTTTGATGCTTAAGGAGGCAAGGTTTGAGGAGCGGATCGTGGATTTGGAAGCGGATTTGTCTGAGTTGAATGAGCAAGTCGTCGTCCTGAGGGCCGAGAAGACACAACAGTAGGCATAGCCGTCTACATCTCATACTTCCGCCGATCCCAGTGTGTCGTAGGAGTTGTATGAAATGTGGGTCTATGTTGAGGTTCAACTTGACATGTACAAGTCTTTAAAAGCTATCGGGAAGGTTTCCAAGGTGGAGCTTGAGGGCGTCCGTGTCAAGGCATGTGCAGCTCGTGAAGCTTGTGGCTACGACCTTGGTGCACCCGGCGGAGATGATGATGACGACGCCGTGGTTGGGCTTACCTCTGATCCTTGGTATGATGATGGGTATGCTGATGGGGATGATGTGGCGTAAAGCTTTTGTACTTAGCTTTTTTTTATTTGCTATTTTTGTGAGGGCGTCCTCGAGCCCTTTGTAAAAAGTACTGTAATCTAATGATTGAAATGGAACAATTGCCATTTTGCTATGTATTTTTGGATTCCCGTTCTCTTTTTCTACTAGTTTGCTATGTGGGAAAGTCCCTAATTTTTTGGTCGTTTGCATGTAATGTTGATTTTCGCGGAGTCAAACATAGACCGACTTGAGGCCGAATATTAGTTAGCTCGAACGAGGTCGAGGACTGATTTATTCGAACGAGATCGAGTGTCAAGTGATTCGAGCGAGGTTGAAAGTCAAATAATTCGAGCGATGTCGAATGTAAAGTGATTCGAGCAAGGTTGAATGTCAAATCATTCGAGTGAGCCGAATGTTAAGTAATTCTAGCGAGTCGAATGTAAATTAATTCAAGCGAGTCGAATGTAAAGTAATTCGAGCAAGTCGAATGTAAAGTAATCGAGCGAGGTCGAATATAGGATGTAGAATGATTTGGTGGAGTTGTGCAAAAATGTTGCATGTTGCTTTGTTTATTTCATTCATTGGAGAATATTACATGTTTCTGTTTGTTCCATACATACATTTGAGAATTTCCAATCTACCTAGTCCCTTCATCGCTCGGCCTAGAGAAGTAGTCAATAGGCGGGGCGATGAATTATACTTGAACTTCGAGACATCCCCTTCGTCGCCTCATTAAAAACCTCCCCGATAAAACCCAACTGGTATAAAACCCGGGGAGGGAAAAAGAGTATGACTTGGAGTGCGTCCATTCTCAGAAGTTGAAGTATTTGAGGTGGGTGACGTTCCAATTGTTTGGTAGTTGTTTTCCCTCCATTGTTTCTAGTTGGAATGATCTTTTGTTTGCTGCTGCTGTGATTTTTGCATGGCCCGTCCCAATTGGTTCCTAGTTTACTTTCTCTTGGGTCTTTGCTCGCCTGTGTTTTGGCCTTGGGTACATAGTCCCCGACTTTGAGTGGTCTTACTTTGGCCTTTTTGTTGTAATACCATTCTGCTTGCTATTTTTGGGCTATCATTCTTATATAAGGCATGTCTCTTCGCTCCTCAGCTTTGTCGAGGTCTTGTTGTCTTTTCTCATCATTGCTTGGTCCGCTCTTATTAGAGTATCTCAAACTTGGTTCCCCAACCTCAACTGGTATCACTGTGTCACTCCTATAAATTAGTGAATACGACGTTTCTCCTGTGCTTGTTTTTGGCATAGTATGGTATGCCCAT